AAGATAGAAGGGTAAATTGACGGCTTACCTAAGAATCACGAAAATCTCGCCATTCATCCAAGGTACATACCATTGTACGCCAGCTTAGAGGAATATCTGAAGTGGATTGGACGTTGCGTAGGAACCAAGGTAGGAAGATTATATTCTGAAAGCGAATATATTATTAAGATTGAGAGTAGGCGGATATAGTATAATTATATTGATAATTGATCTAATTGCGCGATCTGTGTTAATTACGGCTACTGGTTTTGGTTTATTCTCACTTAATATAAGTTTGTTCGATATATAAGTAATTTAAGTTAAATTCTTAATAAAAGTCACATTAAGAATTCTAAAATGTCTCATCATTTCCAAAAATCCCAAACCTCTAACTTACGCTGAAACCACACGATTGGTCAACGAAGATCGACCATGTCGCAAGCTTAAAAACTCATTGAAAAAAATGAAAAAAAATATAAAATATACTCGCATAAAATCAACACTGCCATAAAAATGCATTTAATGCCAAAACAGTGTAGAGCAAAATAATTAAGGGGACTGCCTATGTTTAAAAGATCATCTATAATTTACCATACAATTAATGACTCAATTTACAACTAAATCAAATTTGTGCATTGCTTACAATTAAAAATTGGCTGTCTGCTTTCCTTCATCTCCAACATAGTTAAAGTAGAAATATAAATCACATAGCTGAAAATATTTTTTTGTTGAATACGCAAGGAAAATTTATATATGAACACGGATTTCACAGCAGAAATCTACGACAAAGTCTTGATTAAAGGTTTTTGCAATTATAAATTTGATTGGCTTTTGCAATCATTATCAAAAAAGTTCAGTGTCTACCTTTAAAATTGAGCAGCTTAGTTCTACACATGGATTACTCCTCACATGGACAATTATTTGGTGTGTGTTCTAGAGTATTTGGTGATGGCAAAGATGATTGAATGCACACTGCGGAATTACTACCAGGACAAAAAGGTCCCTTGTTTCTAGACCACAAGAGCTTCTTCACTGAAAAAAAAGACAATTTAATGCACAATAAGGCTTCCATTCTTAAGACAATGTAAATAACTTTATGTTCATAACAGAAGGACAAAATAAACCACATTATAAATTTAAGAGTATTCCGTTAACGGATAACAAATGAAATCTGTCAGAATCGTTTTGTTTATGTGTACATAGTTATACATATTCTTTTTATAAAAATCATATCTCAGGGTGCAAACGGTTACATACATCAGAAATATATATATGCTTTCTCATTCCTTTTGTTTTAAACCAGACTGACCCACAGGAAGGTATGAATGTGTACAACTTGTTTTTTTAGTAAAAAATATCATACCTTAAGGGCAAATGGCTTAAGATATTAGAAATGTGTGCTTTCTCTTTTCAACCAGACTGAACCACAGCAACGGGTGGCTGGATACACAACTAGTTATAACAAACTTAAATCTTAAAAGGTTATGAAAAACAAAATAAGGTTTAGTATTTTGGTGAAAAAACCATAAACAGTTCAAAACAAACACAAAATATACATCAGAAAATCTTAATTGAGCCATTCGTATTCCAGAATAACATCAAATGAAACTTTGAATGCCCACCAAATAGATCCTTATTAATCTCACTCTAATATGATACCACCCCAACTCTTAAGATTCTTAACAACTATTTGGCAGAAAAATCCATATCCAATTACAAAAAAATATTATTTTATTCAAACAGGTATAGAACAATTTCCTATTAATGAATCGCATTTGGCGATTGTAAGGATCTACTGCTTGCACCTGGCAACAGGTCGAGTGATACACACGAGATCTGGCAGTGGGCCCACTATATACAGAGGAGGACTTGGCAACGACAGGGGAGACCAGACCGGAAGAGACCAAACCAGGGGAGAAAGAGAGCGGTAGCGAGAAAACCGAAGGCGAGAAAAACGTGGTCGGAGGAAGGAAGACGGTGGAACGATGGATTGTAATCTTGTACCATCTTAATATTTTCTTCTTTTTAAGAAGTGTCCCATAGAAGGAGTGAAATAAAACTGAGGGACAAAATTCTAACTGTAATTATTTTTTTCACAATTCGAACACGATCCGATCCGAAAAGAACCCACAAGTTTATAGCGATGTCTTCTGATTTGTGTGTGTGTGAGGTAAATGTTGAACTGAAAAAAATGTAGCCTCCAAATAACAAGAATTATATAACAATTTAGTTTAGAATTACTGGAGAACGATAAATTGACGGAAAATTTTATATCAGAGCATGCTACTCATTTTTGACATGATTATGAAATCACGCCAACTATATGTTTGGCAGCCTCTGATGTTATCTTTTAAACTATTTCCTGGAAAAATTAATAGTATACTGAAGTCAAATTAGTATTTTATATATAAAAATTTTCTGAGGCAGATAACCCAAGCTTAGAAATACAATACATCTAACTCGTTTTTTACAAAATTTTGAAATGACAGGGTTCACAAATATACTTTTTTACACACATCGTTGTGTTCTAGCACGAATTCCTCTTTTTTCCATTCCAATTTTAATCAGTAGATGGTCAGTTTATGCCCCCATATATGCGAGTGACTTGATCTACTCATGTCCATTTTACTCTATATTCCAGTTTCCTTTATCTTATTGTACTCAATAGTGCTTTGTTCTTCAGTATAATTGCATTTTGTATTAAAATGTTCAGTTTGTGTAGAATGCAATAAATAGTTTCAATAAATTTCTAAGAGATGATGTTCAGGTTATTATTTTTTTAATTTAATGTTGAAATTTCCAGTTTTATCAGGGTATTATAGCAGCATTAAAATTGCAGCACAAAATGCAAATGTTTCAATGCAAACCCATGGAAAAAAGAAATTTGACTGTTATGGAAGAATGGAGAACGTTAACGATTATGGATTACATTACACATGCTTCTTTCTCTATCAAGCAGTTGTGCTAATCGATTTTGAATGCTTGTTTTAGAAAGATTTTCCCAGCATGCATCAATATAGAAGTTTTGTAGTACAAATTAAGTTGTGTGGTCTGAAATTATATTTCTATCAAATGAAACCATTGGCTAAGGTTTTAATTACATGTAAAGCACTAATTTTAATTTTTTCTGTAATTAAAATGAGTTTTTGTTTTATAAATTTGTAACATGGATTTCATTGATACTTTTTTTGCACTGTTTTCCATAAAGCAAATCTTCTAAGGCAAAAAAGCAAAAGAAAAAATTAGTTAGTGTTCTAAAGTTAATTTGTTTAAAAAGATTTGAACTGACTTTTTCAATCTGAAGACATAATTAAAATTTTATTACAATATTCACTTACTACACAATTTAGCATACAATTATCTGAAAAATACGTGCATAATATATAAGCAAATCCGTAAACACCGTTCGACAAAAGCTTATCAGAATGTTAGAACGAACTTAAATCTTAAAAAGCTATTGAAAACAAAATAAGGTTCAATATTTTGATTATTTTTTCAGAACATTTATATCCCCTTGCACCAGAAAGTATCACACGGAAGTTTACATAGAAGTAAGCATGAAGAACACATCATAAAAAAGCGAAGGATTACAACACAAACATCCTTGACTTACGTGGGATTCGAACCACGAGCCCAAGGGACCGCAGTCATCGTCATTAAGCACTACATCGGATGGGCGACTAATATCTTGACTAAATCTCCATAAACAGTTCCAAGCATACCCAAAATACATGTCAGAAAATCTTAATTTTGCCATTTGTATTTCAATAGTAACATCAAATGGAATTTAAAAGAAATTGCCTAAAATATAGAAAAAAAAAACATACTTATCATAAGATCCTATCAATTAATTTCACCAAATTAAGACGTAGACAGGTGCAGAAAATTATTGTGTTTCAATATGCACTTAACGATTTCTTATTGAATGTATAATGTTTGACAGGGATTTAATTTAGGAATACCGGAGAAATATGAAATAGTCGAAAATTTTAATCGGCAAGCTACTCGCTTATAGCGTGATTTTGAAATAACGCCAAATACATCTTTTACGGTCTGTCTTATGTTATAATCATAACTTTTAGAAATTTTTACTATCTAGCAGATACATCTGTAGCCTACAGAAGTCAAATATATTTATAATCTTTGTTTAATAAAGAGATAAATAATTTTAGCTTAAATTACAGAAAAAATACTTCGTAATGTATAAGCAAAATTGTACACATTGCGCGATTATATTATCAGAATGTTTCCAAAACTACAAAACAAAATTTGAGTTGTTTGAAGAGTAATCATTAAAAAAAGGATTTATTCAAAAAATAATCCTAATTAAGCATCAAAAAACAGAAAAATTGTATAAATATTTCAACCGACAAATATAAATGTAGTAAAAATGTGTAATAACCTTGAAAAACTGTATGTGAAGTATAAACTTTCGCATTTAGTCACAGGCGTGTTATCATTTGACGTCATTACACCAGAAAATCACTTCAGGATTTATTCGAAAAATAATCCTAATGAAGTATCGATAAACAGAAAAATTAGATAAATATTCTAACCGATAAACATAACTATAGTAAAAATATAAAAATAACATTGAAAAACAGTGTGTAAAGTATAAAGTTTGGCATTTAGTGACAGGCGTGATATCAAATAACGTCATAACACGAGAAAATAATTTAAAAATTAAATTTTAAAAAAATTTAGAAAGAATTACGAAATAATAAGTACATAAAAACCTGTCCGGATTCAAATGCAACGTCGTGTCAAAATTTCAGAGGAAATGGTCCAGTAGTTTCGGAGATTAGTGGCTTTGAAAACACACACATTGCATTTTCATTTATATAGATTTATATATCTTGTTCATATTTTTAATCGTTAATAAAATACTTTCTATTCATCTATGCAAGTTCAAAAACATTTTTTAAATTTTTAGTAGAAGACATTTGATGTTACTACCTTTTTCAAATATTAATTAATTAAATAAATTTAAAAAACGAAGAAATAGTCATAAACGAAGAAATAGTCCAGCAACATATGTAGAACGGAAATTGTGTTGGAATTCTAATCCAATAGGTCATGGGTTCGAATCCCATCTGGATGGTCTAATTTCTGAGAATGAGATTTCATTTTCAATTCCCACTACTGACTCACAATCTCTATATATTTATTTGATTGTTTATTTATATTGGTTTAATTTTCAATCGTTGATGAACTACATTTTAAAGCGTTCATTGAGCTGAAATTTTATATACATTATTATTTTGGATGCTAATACAATAATTTAATTATAATTAGTAAAAATTAATTGAATAAAACTAATTATATTTAAAGAATTACAAATACACAGCCACGTTGGCATCATTTTTGGCGATTTGTGTCAAAACTTCAAAAGGTTTTTTTTTTCTCACGTTTTAAAGCATTCAGTTGAACTGAAATTTTATATACACGATTGTTTTGGATGCTAATACGATACTTTAATGATAATTAATAAAAATTAATTACCACTTAAAGTTGTGATTCTGTCATATGTATATACATATTTATATTAATAGTAACTAGTTAATAAAAAGTAGCTAAAATAAAATTTTTCTTTGGGGATCTAAGTAGGAATTGACTTATTTTTTTTTATATTAGTTGTTCAAAATTGCTACTATTAGCTCCACTCTCTATATATTTATTTATTTATCTTAGGGGAATTTTCTCAATCGTTAATAAAATACATTTTAAAGCGCTCAATTGAGCTGAGATTTTATGTACATGATTATTTTGGATGACAATACAATAATTTATTTATACTCAATAAAAATTAATTGATTAAAATTAATTATTTAAAGAATTACAAATACACACACAGCCACGATGTATCATTTTTAGAGATTTGTGTCAAAATTTGAAAAGGTTTTTTCTCTCGTTTTAAGGCATTCAGTTAAACTGAAATTTTATATACACGATTGTTTTGGATATAACAATACGATACTTTAATGATAATTAATAAAAAATAATTACCACTTAATGTAGTGATTCTATCTCATACGTATATACATATTTAAATTAAATGTAACTATTCAATAAAAGTAGCAAAAATAAAATTTTTCTTTGTTGCTCTAAGTAGGAATTGACTTATCTTATTTTTTTTATCTTACTTGTTTTTTTTTTAACACTATATTGTCCAAATGAAGTCATTTTGACTGTTTTTTTTATTTCAATTAGAAAAACATTTACATATATAATGCACAATTTCTTGGAACTTTTTAGAATATTTTTTTCCAAGTGAAATATTTTTTTTATTGTTAAAATTTACCAATAACTTGTTATATGAATATCAATAAGATAAAAAAAAATATTAAAACTTAATTTAAAACAAATTTCTTTCCACATTAATCATTCTTTCGCAATGCAGCCATTTCGCTTTTGGGCAATATAGGTATATACTAAGTATCAGTCTTTCTAGTGTTAATATTTACTTGTCAAATATTTTTCTAAGACGGTTAACTTAATAATAAATGTGTAATCTACACTATTAAATATACTAAAACAGTTTCAAGGCTTTAGATACTTCTTAATAACGAAAGAAATATATAATTTCATTGTAAACATGCATCAATATTGAATAAAATAATAAGCCTTTGAATAAAATGATGAAAATAAAAGAGATTTTCTAAAGTGATTATTTTGAACATACTAAATTAAATTTTCAAGCTAAGAATTCCTTAGAACCTGTTAGTAAAATTACCAGAATTTCGTATAAAATCTAATTTCTGTAAAAGTCTACTTGTTCATGTGCAACGAAGCTAGAATTATATATTTCCCACCTAGAAAAGTAGGTATAATAGAAGGAAGCGATTCTTTAATACAGTAGGGCACCCCCCTAGGGTGGCGGTATAATCCTATGAGAAGGGTAGAAGCATATCAAAAAGTCGAAAAAAAAGATTACTTTTTTAAAATTATTAATTTACTGAAAGGAGGCAAAACACACAAAATAAAGTTTGACATAATAAGAAGTAAAATACACATATGCTCTGTTATACTTATAAATATATCGGTACTGCACAATGTATAAAGTAATAACTTAATCATTAATTCATCAATTATAAGTTAAGAGCCAGTTTAATAATTACTAGAGACCCCATGTGCTTATCATATACAAAATTTAATACTTATCTTGATAATTTGTACGGTTAATATTTAAAGTAGCATTGTAGATTTAAGTGTCAAAGAACATTACTTTTGAATACAATACAGTATTATTTTGTAGCGGGGGATGTGATGAAAATTATAATTGAAAATTAGGTCTCAAATATTGAAAGTTTGACAAGCACTGTAGTAGAGATATCTTCAAAGAAACCAACCCTAACTAAAAATTTTTCAGCTCAACACCAATAGCTTGTAGTGCAACCATATCTTTGGGGGAACTTTAATTCAAATCAATTTTAAAATTACTTAATCAAATTAAAAATAAAAAAAAATAAAAATTTTTAGTAGAAAAAGTAACAGTATGTAAAAACCATTTATATATATATATATATATAACTAAACAATACATAAGTAAATTCTAAAATTACATAATTAGATTAAAAAAATACAATAAATTTCTTTTTGGAAAAAGTAAAAATATACAAATTAATATAATTATAAGAAAAACTTAAAATGTAAGACTGGAAATTACTGGCAAATATATGTAGAATATTTATGAAATTGAAATAAAAAAAATATTATTAATTAATAAGCACTTTGAAAGTAAATGACGCACCTTAAAATAACGAACACTTCGCAGAATCCAGATGCTCCCTCGTTGATGGAAAAGGCATCTAAACTTCCGACTTTCTGTGCGATATCGAACATCATCTGCCGGGAATCACTCTTAAATACTAAACTCGGTTACTCAGAAAAAAGAGCGAACCAATCAAAGATCTCGGATGGTGAGGACAGAAGGGGAAGGGCAGGAATCCTACAAGTGCCATTTGTGCAGAGCGATTCGGCGCAATGGGAAATGGCAGGATTTTCTTTCCTTCTTAAGGTATCCGAATACGTTCGGAACCATGATACCGTGAGTTTAGAAAAGCGTATAAATGGATAATATTTATATTTAGTGTCACTTAGATTAGAAAATGCATATAAAATTGTTTGAAGAATAGTATTACAATAAAAAATTATTTAAGTATAATATTTTGACAAAAAATGAACATAGAATGACGAATTTTCAAAAAATTCTCCTTTTGTGAAAACTGCTTTTATTATAATAATATTTTACCTCTATATAGCTCACACTTCTGTACAGAGGCTCAACTAATTTTTTTTGTTTTTTTTTGACATATATAACTAAGAAGTGGGTTTATCTATGTTTTACGACAACATAGGGGAGAAATTTTAAAAAATAACGCCGATAATTTTTTCATTTGGTTGCTACTATGAAAATAATGCGAACTTTTTTTTAAATAGTTCAGGCTCTCTGGAGAAGTCTTTACTTTATATAAGCAAAATATTATTTTAGAAGCATTTTTTATAAAAGGAAAACATTTTGAAAAAAAGGTTATTCTAAGTTAATTTTTTGCCAAAATATTGATTTAAATAAACTGTTTTTATTAAAGTGTCCTTAAAACAATTTTATATATGTAGTCTAATCTAAGTGACACTAAATATCATGAAAACTATCCGTTTATACGCTTTTTTAAAATGACGGTTCAGAACGTAGTCGGATACATTAAGATAATTAACTAAGAATATTTTTTTTTTCAAAACTTTCTTTTATTATAAAAAATGCTTCTAAAGTAATAATATTTTCCTTATATAAAGTAAAGACTTCTCCATAGAGTCTGAACTAGGAGTTCTAAAAAATTCATATTATTTTCAGACTTACTACCAATTGAAATAACTTTCTGCGTTTTAGTCTTAAAATTTCTCCCCTCTATTGTAAAAAATATGGACAAATCCACTTCTAAGTTGTAAATTTCAAAAATTGTAGTTCAGCCTCTGTACAGAGGTCTATATACAGGTAAACTATTATTATAATAGAAGCATTTTTCATAAAAGGAGAATGTTTTAAAAATGGATCATTTTATGTTCATTTTTTGTCAAAATATTGTATTTAAATAATTTTTTATTGTAATACTATTCTTAAAACGATTTTATATACGCTTTTTAATCTAAGTCATTCTTTCTAAACTAAATATCTTAAATATTATCCATTTATACGCTTTTGCCAAATCAAAGTTCGAACGTATTCGGGTAACTTAAGCCTTAAGTTATCCGACTATGTTCGGAACCGTGATTTAAAAAAAAAACGCAAATATGGATAATTTTCATGATATTTAGTGTTACTTAGATTAGAATACATGTATAAAATTGTTTTAAGAACATTTTGACAAGAATTTTTTTTTTTTTTTAAATACAATATTTTGGCAAAAATTAACTTAGAATAACTTTTTTCAAAATTTTCTCCTTTTATAAAAAAAACTTCCAAAATAATAATACATCGCTTACATAAGGTAAAGACTTCTCCATAGATTCTGAACTAGGAGTTTTGAAAAAATCACATTATATTCGGAGTAACAACCCATTGAAATTAATTATCGGCGTTTTTTTCTTAAAACTTCTCCCCTCTGTTGTCGTAAAACATGGATAAACCCACTTCTAAGTTATATATTTCAAAAAATCTAGTTGAACCTCTGTACATAGGTCTGAGCTATATACAGGCAAAGTATTTCACAAAAAGAGAATATTTTGAAAATGTGTCATTTTATGTTCATTTTTTGTCAAAATATTGTACTTAAAAATTTTTTTATATTGTAATAATATTCTTAAAACAATTTTGTATACATTTTCTTATATAAGTGACAGTAAATATCATAAATGTTATCCATTTATACGCTTTTAAAAAATCACGGTTCCGAACTTAGTCGGATACCTTAAGGGTCATTGATGGAAGTTTATTTCAAGGCGGTGATTGATATAAAATTTCATTTCGCATCGTTAGGTTTTTTCAATTTAAGAAGTAACAATTAACTAGTTTTAAGAAGATCCTAAATTAGTGGCTTATATAATTAAAGAAACTAATTTTGGATTTTGTAGTATTTATTAATATATATATATATATATATATCA